CCATAAAGCCATGTTTGCGAAACTAAAACCAAATCATACGCTAAATATACCAAGAATCATTTTACAATGCTTGCTCTGCGCAGCGTTTTAATTCAGACACCGCTAAATTGATCTGCAGTATAAGTTTCAAGAACATTCTTTCCAGTGAACTAATATTTATATTTTTATTTGGTAATGCATGTATTTGTGTGGCGGCGGTTTTGAAAAAATAGGTATAGCGATCTGTATATCCCCGAAGGCCTTTCGGTTCTGGTTTTAGCAGGAGATCAAATCTAATCCTTCGTATACGTTCTGATATTGATAACCCCCTTTCTTTATTCATGTCATTATCATCATCGACAATTTTTATTCTTATGGATCTGATAAATCACACAGACTTCTACTTGGTAGTCTAGATTTTATGTCGGAGAGTAATTTACCTTGTCCTATAAAAAGATATCACATAATGGCTCAAAGAGAGACGAGGAAGCAAATCGTTCTCGAACAATTATACTCTGATATTCTCAAGCAGGCTCGTACGGAAGAACATCAGAGTTGTGACTCAAAATTTTACGAATCGTCTTTTTCATATAATTTCAAAGATGAAGAAGATGGTGAAATCTTCGACCTGTATGCAAGCCGAGAAACAGATCAAGTCAAAAGTCGTAGTCACCACAATTATCCACCTCTCTCGATCAAACTTATCCCACCATCTCCAACATTTCGCTCAAGGGAATATAGAAACCACTATGCAAGTTTTTCTCACGAACAGCATTCTGTTCTTATAGAAAACGATATTTATTCAGGCATTAAAGCAGAAGAGGAGAACGTAAACGAAAACAGTGTTCCTGTATATAGCCACACAGAACCATATTCAAGTAAAACGCATGTTCAGCATCGTAAGCGACAAGTGGTAGAAGCAGCAAGTGTTATACTCCATATGGCTGAATCAGAAAATATGCCGAAAGAGATAAAGCAAAAACACAGAATATCGTGCGACTTATTCACTTCCTCCGATTTTACCGATCTAAATCAGTCTTGCATTTTGAACGATGGTATATTATATTGTCGTGATTGTGATAAAGAAATTTTACAGGGTGGTGTTCGGTGTAGGATTGGGGAAGATACTGCTTTTTTCCATCGAGATTGTTTCACCTGCTCACACTATAACAGTTTTCTATGTAGAACAGAATAATACTTCTTATGTCACTTATCTCACATATCATATTTTACACGTCCTTATTCTATTCCTGATTTCATGTAATTACTTCTATACCTGAACAGTATGCTCTTCACAATTGCTCACACATACGTTTCAGCATCGAAATTACAAATCTGCGATGATCATGATTCTTCGTTCTGCGGTTCTGAGCATTTTATTAGAATATTAATTCTGCATTGACTTGAAGAAGCAGCTATGACGCACGATTTTGTGTTGAATTTATAGCATGCTTATGATTATCTAGATCTTTGATCCTCTGTAAAGCACTTCGGGCTTGATAAAGGTAAAATCCACTGAGTCTATATTCTCCTACTATGAAAGCGCTTCGAGCATGATCCGTTAGAAAGATGATATCATCTAGTAAAAGTCATTTTACATTTCTCGTACTTGAATCCGGAAGACACGGTTCTCTATCCGGACTGACTCTCGCTTTATCGCCTATGGTCATTGTGATCGGGCGTTTCTTACCGGCTATATATACAGATTTATCCTTGCTTTACATGTCTTATATCAATTAGCGATCGAAAAAATGAACAGGTTTATATTTCAATGAGCTTTAGAGAGTTGAAGTAAATAAAAGTAAGGTATTGCATGATGATCTCTATTAAAAACATACTTGTTGTGAAACAATTTTCAAAGCTTTTCGACTGTATCCGATGAGACATCTTAAATCAAGCGTTCCAATTCTCCAGACTCGCTTCGGTTGATTAAAAAAGAGACAGCCAAAAGGTCTAGAATTTGATTTTCAATAGGTATGTAAACAGAACCTATGTAAAAAATTGTTACGCGCCATTGCAGAAGCCATCTGATATTTATTCAAGCAGATGTCTTTCCAAAGATAAGGACAGACAGGCTGCCTTTTTTTCAAAACAAAGTATTTACAAATAAAATTTCAAGTATTTAGGCATTTTCTCATGTCTCTTTTGTCAGCGTCGGACCTTGAATAGTTGCTTCGAATAAAGCAACGAGGCTTTTAAATTGTTCGGAGCTTAAAAAGCAACAAGTAGATTCCGGCCGAGTTTGCGAAGCACGTTCAACACTATCTTTTACGACTTTTATTAATTCCAGATATTCTTTAAATTTTATCGTATATCCACTGAGAAGGTTTATCAGATATTCCTCTTTTGAAATTGAATGTCTTGAGGATGGTTCTTGAATATCATCTTCTATTTCTGAAGGTAATAAAAGCAAATAAACGACAAACATTGCTGCATAATTGAGCATTATGAAATCCGTATCCGGCATATGGACAAGAGAAAGAGGATTTATCGAAACAATTTTTTCCAACAGACCAATTGCGCTATCAATACATGCTTGATACGTACGTTGAATCATTTCAGCCAACGCTTTTTCGATTGATTGAAAGATGGTTTGAGGAAATGTTTCGAACCAAACTTCAATGCATTGTCGAAAAGCGAGAGAAGAAATATGTAAACAAATGCTATTACCCAGGATTTCAAATCTGATCCAACCTCGATCATTTTCAGTTGCTGATAGATACACTTCCGATTCTGCTTGTGTTCTATCTTCTTCTCTTTGAACAGGAGTTCTTGAACTTCTTTTCGATTCACTTATTCTAGATCGCCGTCTGCGCCAACGATATTCCCATGCTTCCATTTCGCAAAAAAAGGCCTCTAAAAGTGCAATTTGTTCTCCCGATAAATTACGTGATCTACCAAATCGACCTGGTTTATATTTTTCGAGTAGGTCTCTGTATTTACTTTGAATTGAACGACCTTCAACTGTCGCACAAAGTTGCCAATCCGATAATGAAGTCGCACTTCCAGCTGCAAATCTTTCTAAAGCTAGAAGTGGCGGAGGAGGAGATGAAGAAATCGGAAAAGGTAAAATAAAACCATCTTGATCCATTATTTCATTTATCAAAGGAACGTAAAATAATTGAAATGTACTCCTTTGAACATAATGAAATAGTTGAATTCGTAATATATCTCTTGCTTCTTTTTCTGATAAAGGGCTTCCATTGCTTCCACCTGTTCTAGATATGTTTGCAATTTGATCTGCATATCCTACATACAATTGAGAATAACCATCATCAAGAGCTTTCCAAACGGTAAGAAGATGAAGAGCAGTTAGTGTTTCTAAACTTTGATCTGCACATCCAAATGCACGTATTGCGAGTGAACGTGTATGCATTCCTAAAAGTTGCTCTTCTTGAGAATTTGTGATTGCATTGCTAAATCTTGATGCAAGATATAAGACAGTTGAAAGCAGGAATGTTGAAGTCCAACGTGTTCCAGGTAATGATAATTCTTGTACAGAAGGGATTGCTCCTGCCCACGGTTGTAAGTATGAATCGTAATATAACAATAATTCTTCGCACCTCGCTGACGAGATTATTCCTAAAATTCGCGGATCAGGATAGATGTCAAAACGTACGACAAGTGGTGAATCAGCTACGATTCGACCGAGTACAGGTTTATCTCCTGTCAGAGGACACAAATGTTGTCTTAAAGTGGGATGATAAAGTGATTCTCCAATCCTACTTGAGATGGGATGTTCAGATGATTTAACATTTATATTCTGCGTTGCACCATTCTTTTTGTTTCCTTCTCCAAAATACATAGGTATAAATCTATGTCCATTTTCATCTTGAAATTTCTTCAAAATTCGCCAAAGTGAACTTCGAAAAGGTTTTGCAAGTATATCTTGAAATTTCACGAATTCATTATTAGACATTTGTTCTTTGTCTGCGTCTCTATTTCGAGAGAAAGAAGATGAAAATTTAAGTAAAGGTGAATTTCCTGAACTTATGATTTCATTCCTTTTATCCATTGATGAACCTGTTGATTGATTTTTATGTTTTCTTCCTCTTTTATTTGTTGGCTCAAATCTACATTGTAAGCCATTATTTTCGCATCTTTGACAAGCACGAGCACTATCTCCAATTTTGCAAATCACTTTTCTTTGTCGACATTCCAGACACGCAGCTTTCACTGACGATGAAAAAGATTTTGAATTAGTGTTTGCCGTTTCCAGACCTCTGCCAAACATTTGTAGAGAAAGAAGAATACATTAACCCCCTCAATCATAAAATTGCACGGGCTAATAATATTCTCGCGTCTTTTAAAGATCGATATAAAGTATAAAAAAATGTGATGATGGCGTAGAAAAAAGAGTTCGAATAGTAGAATTTGATTTACGCGCTACACGAACCATCAATTTTAAGGCACAAGCGTATAAAAAAGGTCTAGATTCTATTGCGAGCTACTGTATGATCTTATACTCCTGCCCGTCTTTTACACGCCCCAGAAGGATGCAATCTACATACTTGTATTATCTTAACGCTCCATCAAATAAGGATCTATAAAAATAATTTAGTCAAACCAAAGTCTTGAATCCTAGATTCCTTGAAAACACTTAGAGAAATATAGAGTTATACAGGTATTTCGCTCAGTGGATCCTTCTATATATTTCTATAGAACCACAAAAGTTCTTCACTTTGATGTTAAGCAAGGAGATTGACGCATAGACGATTATTCTGTAAGCACTATTCACAGGCCAAATTCTTCTATTTCAGAAAGATTTAGAGGATAAAATGTAGAAAGAGTGCAAAAAACTATTGAAATTCGAAAAGCTGGAAAGAGAAGTTCTCCGTGTAGATAATAAAGTCATTAAGGCAAGATCTAGAACAAAGAGAATTCCACAGAAAAGGGATGATCGGCTGCACAAATTCTTAAGTACTTATTTTAGTGTTTTTCCATAGGTACGCAAGCCTCCTTAAATTCGGATCAGTGCCACGAGCTTCTTTTCAGTGAAAACCCGTGAGATGTGAAGAATTGACTGGAACTTTACCCTCGGGCTTGTGAGAAGCCCGTTCATTTGAACAGGCGCATTTGGCATAGCCAGCTTATTTCTAATGCATTTTCAACCTGCGTTAGATACTAATCTGCATGCATATCCGTATTGCCAACGTGTATGCATCGCATTAATTTGTTTCCGCGGAGTTGCGCAGCGCAGCGGGTTTGTCCGCTTTAAATGAAAACACCGAATTCGGTCCGGCGATCTGAAAGCTAAACAAAGCACTGTTATGGTGAAATGCACACGTGCACGTTTTTTTTAAAAGGCGTTATATTGACTGAATCGATAAGCTAATAGCTTCGTTTTATTTTTCCATTTTTTAGTCAAGCCAGCACACCGTAGAATCAACAGCTGCACCCAGAAACCCAGGTCAAATACCTGCTCGATCGGACAAGCCACCATAAAATAGAATCAGGGCTGTGGAGCATACAAGTAATGCCATTCTACCTAACTACAGACATTTGAACCGCCAGATAAAGTAACAAAGATTGATGATAAAGCTGTCGAAAGGATTTTTTGTTTCATGGCGGCAGAGAAAAAGGCGATATTCATCCGCTCAAAATTACAAATAGAGTATTCTTCGGAATGACTCTCGTTTGTTGTCTTAACTAATGCTCGCTTTTTAGGTTTCTCCTTTACGAGTGAGAGCAAGAGCTAGAACATGTGTTGGATTTCAGCCTCTTTGGCAGCCTCCATCACAAAATCATCTTTTTTCGACGTGTCCAAAGCCGTGAGATGATGATATTGATGGCTTTGCCCATTGTCTTTTGGATCATTCAGCTGAGCTTCCTTTGTTCGCAGGGTCTCCAACCTTCTATAACAGCGGAATAAAGTAAAAAAAAATATTGGTGGGAAAGATGTTTTCCTACCTTGCATCAGTCATACTTTTCATGCTTCTCGCTCTGTTTGACATTTTGTGCACCCGAATTCTGCTTCTTTTGACTTAGATATACAGCCAAGATAGAACAAAAGCTTTTGCACACGTTTCGGAGATTTTTGTACGATAGCAGGCCTCCGCTTTCTTTGCGTATATTCTTGAATTTCGATGGGACTTTCGCGTGTTCGCTTATCTTGCGACATATCTTTCAAGGCGAGAAAAACAGCCAGATTCAATCCTCACCAGATCAGGCCATATGGCGTACGTATTCATATACCAAAAGATTAGAATTCGGCTTGCAAATATATGTACGTAGGCGATGACGGTGGATGTTTTACGGGATTCCAGATCTTGTGTCTTAGCGTCTCGTTTGCTTTATTGAGAATCAGAAATGAATCTAAAGAACTCTATCACCAGGCATGCTGAAAGCGATAGAATCGGTAGTAGTCTTTGCAACACCATTATACGGCAAGATGCGTCGCTCTATGTGTAACATTTCGATTTCAAAAACGATACGACGTTTTTTTGTGTGTTTCCCTTCAGCTGTAAGAAAAAGCAAGCTTTATATACATTATGCGTACAGCATAAGAGGGGGTTCCTGTGGAAGATCTGAAAACTAACCATTTCGTCTAATGGAAATTAAAAAGTTGCCGCAGTCAATTTCGGTGAAGGTCTAACCCTACACGCTAATGCAGGCTTTTTTATTTCATGCATATAAGGAAAGGGTATCCTTGCACATGCAAGATCAGATCGATAAAGCTAGAAAACAAAACGGTCGGCACGACATTATCTCAATCTGCATTGTTCACCTCTTTTGAATTATTTTAAGTAGATACTTGATCCTTGTTGAAAACACATCGTCCCTACTCCTATTACTTATCGCCTTCCCTAATCGTGTCTTTCTGCAGATTGAGGAAAAGCAAGCGTGTTTCGAACCATTTCGAACCAGTGAACGTGGGAGTACGTTTGTTAGGCTTTTCTTACCTGAGCATGTTCATATGATTTGTAGCTGCTTAGCTTGTACGATTCTATCGAGTTTTGATCAGATAGAATTGCGAGAGAGGTTCACCGAGATTGCAGCTCAACATTTGGCATCAGGCAGATACAATGTCATGTGCTGATCCTCATGTCTCAGAGACGACTTAAAGGAAATTTAGAGAGTGTGCAGCGTTTTGTAAACCACCTGAAGGGGCGTCTATGAGTTTTTTTTCTCTTGACAGGAAGTACTAGTAAGCGTGCTTGAAGGCAACTTTCCCACCGCGTTCCGCACAGGAAGTCTCAATGAGTTCCCTATCCCACTCCTTAGAAACTCTTACATGATTTGCAAGAAAAGCAGGTGCAAAGTGATACAGCATCCGCCCACACTTCTCGATCGACGTAATATTGAGACTTAGTCTTGCGTTCCTGGCCGCTTAATGTGTAGTTGAAATAAACATTTCAAGCAAATTTGAAGAACTATATATAGAGAAAAAGGGTAACGGAAATCACACATAACGTATGTACATGGCCAGCTAAACTCGAGAATCCTTATGGAAGCTTATCGTGTTCATAGTGATACTAGCAGTGGACCTGCACCGACCTCGCCCTTACTTTATTCCTCCACTTATTGAGACATATTGAGATGGTCATACGTCGAAGAACCCCGCCTTGCATCGGCATGCCCTTTTGCACAATCTTAATTATGTTACAAAATCACTGCGAAATCTATCTCATTCAAGGGTATTCTGCATTGATGTTCGCCGCTCGATGCTATCAAAAGATCTTGGGATGTCGTGATGGTGCTTTGTTGACGTTGAAATAACAGAAGCCATAATTTGGCTTCTCAGAATCTACAGTGTGGAAACAAAGAATATATAAGAAGTTGCTGTGATAGTACTTCCCATATGTATAGCTTGACCTTCGCACAGCCGCTGGAGTAGGGAGCGCAAATTGAACAGTGATGTGCCACACGAAGTTGTCTAAGCCATAAAAAAATGGCTCCAGCGATATGGCACAAGTCCACAATCCACATGGGTGTCGCAATTGGCAGAGAGACATCAAGTGTTTCACATAGAAGTTGCTGTCACATTGCTTGTTTATTAACCGAGAGATTGTGTTGTGTAATAGCACTTCAAATACAAAAGAGAAATGCGGGACAAAAAAGTTGTAAGGAAGCGAATTCGTTACCGTGATTATTCGAGTGACGGCCAATTTTGATTTGTGAATGCTCTGTATTGTCGCTCTGACTGAAGGTATTGGTGTAAGCACAAGAAATACGTCAGTCTCAAGCGTGCTGAGGAGATCAGGTGATTATAAATCTCTTGTCCGCTCAGACCCATCTGTTTCCCTGCCGGAAATAACTCTGGAGCGTATTGTTGAATCGCATTGCACCCGCAGAAGAAATGCCAATGAATTATCCTTGCCAGAAAGTAGTACTGGTTCCATAGCTTTGTCTACAACCTTCTGATGAAAGTCTTGCTGTTTGTTGCACTGTGACGTTCATCACTGTAACATCACTGCCTATGTATTATCAGCGTATAATTTGTTCACAAGACGAAGTATGATGATAGTCGTACGAGGGGTAACGAAGGGTGCTTCTCTCTGGCTAAACCAAACTTTTGACCATTCTATGTACCCTCCAAAGTTATTGAAGCACTTAGTCATGCTTAAGGAAACACCTGAAAAACAAAAGCAGGTCAGGAGGTCATAGCTGGGCATGTTGCCATCATTTCAAAAAGCCTTGATTTAACGATCAGTCGAGATAATCTCCTATCAGCTTTCCGACTCTTGATGACTAACGGAGAGCCTTTAATGTGTATGTACGTATGATACAGCTTGAATGGTACTCAATGTCCTTACTGAAGCTCCCACTTTGTATTGTCTAGAAGTTTGTAGAGAATTTAGATTGCTTGCTCGTATCTTTTTCTCAATATCTTCTATTGTTGTCGTATTTTCTTGTACCATCTCCTTGGATAACTGGTTTTTTTCTAGATATCTGAGGGAAAGGGGCTTGGGAGAATATCTGTAATCGAGTTGATGATGTGCAGATTTAGTGGGAATCCCATAATATCCCTGTTTATGAGGCAAAATACTCTCTTACATTGAGTAATAGTGTGTCTTTTTACATTTTTAAGATGGATGTAGAGAGTGAAACATTTGCAGCATGACTTTGGAACCAATGGGCTGCATATTGGCATAATCATAATTCATAGAAAGTCAGGTCTTGCCAGCAGTCAAGGCAGCCGTAGAGCAGTTTAAGTATTATTACAGCCGACGCCTTCTTCTGCGCGCTTGTCCACAATCGGTGCTTTGTTAATATCTCATTCGTACAAGTCGAGCTCATGCAGCTCAGATACTTAGTGTAGATGTCCGACGGTGTGAATCTCATCAAATTGCAATGACACACTGTACTGCTGGTCACTTTGTCTTCTGCCGATCTAAAAAGTGCGAATGTAAAAGTTTCTAGGACCGCGATGGAAGAATGAAAGAAGACAGTGTTGAGAACCTCCCGTCGAAAGTGAAAAGTGATTAGAATCATGCAAAGCACGAAAGGCATGATTTTTCTCTTTTTAATGAGCGACCGTGACTCTGTTGCTAAAAAGGAAAGATCACGATTCCTGTAAATAAACTTGGAGCTCTTTTATCCGTTCTCTTGTATAACGCAATTTCTCAAACTCTCAAGTTTAGGCAACTATTACGTAGTAAGAAGCTATTTATGTCGAAGGTGATCGAGAAACTCGACTTCAAACTATCGAATGATGTCTATTTGAGTGTTCTGACTATCTACATATTGATCTGTGTGATTTAATTCTGCTTGTTAGTTCGATATGCGGTAATGATATCAGTGTACCGCATCCCATCTCGGTTTCTCGTTGGCAGGATCACATTTGAAGTACGGTGATTGGATGTGATTGGATGGATTGTTTCAAGCAATAATATAATTTATACCCATAGTATATCCCTACACAATATCTTTTGCGCAATACGAGTTTCATTGACTACATGTTGCGCAAAGTAATACGACATACACTCAATACTTCCTGTTCCCGTAGAGGAAAGACAAGGCAACTGGAAAGATCAAACCTGAAAGATCGCGATAAATTCAATCTCCACTAATTCAGTCTTGCGTGATAAATTTTGGGTTTTCACATTTTCTTGTGCAGCTTCCCAGTCCGATACGATTTTCATTTCATTTCATCTCAAAACTGTTTTCATTTGCCCTCTTCAAAAACCGCGCTTGATCTGTCGCGGTCTTGGAAAATATCTAGTCAGCGGCGTACAGATATGGGTTTTCATACCGAAATCCAAGTTCGGTTTCAAACAGTTTGTATTTGAAGATAATTGCGAAGCTGGGTGTGGGTCATCAACTGCTCAAAATGACATTCCGTGAGCCTTTGTGTGCTTTCAAAAGAGATAGCGTGACTTTAAAGAAACAAATTTGGCAGTCACAACGCATCATCCTTTAGGACATTCATACCCAGTCCCAAGGCTTTTAATTTTTGCATCGACATGTGAGTTTGTTCACGAAGCATCTTCTCAATATGAACGCTCCGAAACGGCCTTAACAAGGCTGCATCTGCTGCCGCACTGGAAAATGTTGAAAACTTATTCGTAGCTCGTGCTGTCCAATGACAATCCTGAATCCCAAGACGTTTGGCCTTGTCGCTACTCTGATGAACCGGGTCACAGTCTGCGTGGGCATGCGTCATGGCAAAAAGACACCGTTTGATGTCCTCTGTGTGAAAAGGCTGCTTGATTATCTCGTCCACGCCTGCAAGAGAGCATGCTAAAATATGTTCCCGGTGCAATACGGTAGTGATCGCGACCTCATACGCATTTTGATTGGCAGCAAAGAATGCTTCATCTTCAGAACGAATTTGGGCACATAAACCTAGGCCGTTGGATAGAAGTATCGATATATTGGAGAAGATACCATGAAACGCATGCTTTCCAAATAGCGAGAGGGCCTCGGCATAATTGCTTACCGTCACAAGACAGCTGCCCGGCATCCCTCCAATTTGAGACTCTAGAATCTTGCGGAGGCTATCAAAAGCGCCCATGTCGTCCACGATGAGTAAAATCCGCAATATGCTTCCGCAGCTTTGTCTTAGAGTTCTTCGGAGTTCGTCAAGTATTTGACTCTGTTTTCTTCTTGCAGAAGGAGATGTTGCAGTGTTCATCTCGGAGAGAGTGCAGCGCGTGATAGTCTCACTTATGTGTGAGGTTCGATAACACATAAGAACTAGCTGACAACACTAGATGAGTAGATTATAATGAGTTTGTGCTTGCTAAAAGCCCAATTAGAGCCTATTTTGGTTCTCTTGCAACAAGAGCGAGATAAATTTAACATAAATGTCGTCCTGACTTGGTTGGGAGGGAATAATAGCCTCGCCTTTCTCTTCGTTTGCTTGTATAGAGATGGCTCAATGCTGGAACATCAAGTTCGCAACTGTGCACAGCGATGAGAATCACAGATATTTTCTGCAAGACAGAAGTGATGACATTTTTCGAGCAAGGGGCAATGGAAGTCCTCGTTGTGTACATCACCAGATAGGTATACTTCAGAGTCTTTCGAATAATGCGTGAAATCCGACTCTCTGCGGGAAGAGAGTCCAATCCTACAGACTATCCCTTCAGACGCAAATAGATCTAGTCGTAGCGTAGAACACAGAAAGCATTTCGTATTTTTGCCTAGACTGAGAGAAAACAATCATACATTTACAATTGTGCTTTCCAGAAACTCTCCCTAGCACGTCACTAAGTGACTGCTGCTAACTTCATGCTCAATGCTCCGAAAGTATCCTAGTGGTCCATTCCTTGTTCGAATTATTCCTAACAGCATTCTTCTCAGAAGCCTCTGCATAGCGCAAACGCCATTTTTGAAAAAATCTAGTCTTTTCAATTTTTCGTTTGGACTGGGAATCTCGGATAATAGTATGACAAGAAGGTGGGTTTAGTTTCCAAACAACTGCATCGAAGGTGATCGATTGTCCTAGGTATAGCAAATGCATCTGTGGCTCTTTGCGATCAAAACTTTGTGGGAATCTGAACGGCAAAACGATCCCGAAAAAGTAAAAAAGGCGTCTTGGAGCAGTATTCATGGCCCCCACAGGAGCACGAAATGTTGGCAGCGTGCAATGTGAGTGTACTACATACTTTTTTCTTCCTTCTTCGACAATTTACAACGCCATTGTGACCGTTTATACGAGGATATAATTGACAATGCAACAATAATTTGTTACGTTTTTGCTTCAAACTATTTCAATCTACATTGATTCATCAGATGCCTCTTCCTTACATATTTCGGACACAAAATTCAAATCTGAGTATTAAGTTATCGTACTGAGAAAAAAAGGTACAGGAGCACATATCTTCCATTACTTAGCTGTTCATAAAGTCTGTCATAAAGAACGTGCAAGTACCAACTAAGCGAAACCGGTGGATGGGACACACTTCGCAATCATTATTGCTATCGGTGTCATCAATCTTCCGAAACTTATATTCTGCTGAGAGGGTAAATGGTACAAAGATGCAAACAAGATCGAGGAAACAAATGAGAAAGTAAAACGTCGTGTTGTAAAAAAAGCCGTAATAGCCAGCATAATGATAGCTTGTGCTTTTCTTTGGCATGATAATGTAGTCCGGACTTGTCAAAATCTACATTTAGATTGGAAAAACACAACCACAAAACGTCAACTAGGGCTTCCGCTGGTATTCAGTAAATTTAGAATCATGTTATTCACCTGCAACGAAGATGTCTACGTTTTTCTAAATGTCTTTGATTAAATTTTGAGCGTTTGAGATCTTCGCGTACGTTTCAATAGAATGCAAATAAGTTTTGCACCCATCAAAAAGTTTCTATAAAGCTTCTACTTCTTAAGCAACAAATCTTGTACAGTTCGCATAGTATCTATGTAAAATATAAGGACGTTTTTTTTGATCTAGCGATGAACAAATATAGAAAAAGAGCGAATGCAGTCGACGATGACTTTTCACCGCATGAATGTAGTCTCTGCATTATTTTTGATTGCCTCTTTTTCGGCAAGTCACATTTGCTTATTCGTTATTGCTGAGTTGGCAATGTCTCTTTTCGAGGATTCAATTTCAATTTGGTTCCACTACTGTACTTCTTCATGCCCTAAGAAGAAATTGAAGAGGTCACGATAAGATTTGATACAGAAACGTTTTGTCGAATATATATTATAAATTCTACATTGAGCTATGCTATAATGGATGATACGAAGATTCACAGTGCTCTATCGAAGCTCTCTGTGCAGCTGTGTACATCCAAACCACATTCAGCTATTGCGATCGAAATTTGGGGGAGAGGAGACGCACTCTGTCGGGTAAAGTCTTACGGCGGAAAATCCATGTCTCATCTCTGAACATTGAGAAGAAATCATTCAATTAGGCATACCGCTCCAACCTTAAGCAGATCAATACTTCTCTTCAATAAAATTACGAAAGATTGAAGGGCTGCTCCACTGAATAGATTTGACGCAGCAGACAAAGTTTGTCAAAGTGGTACATTACGAATTACAGAAGGCAAGGACGTCAAGCAGCAAAATTTCTATTCCTGCTCTGTGACTTTCCACTGGCTACTTCTTTCTGCAGAAGTCTTGCGACGACCTCTGATTTAGATGGATGCCCTTTGTATTCTAATCAATTCCTGAAACACAGCTGGTCCACTACGATCCTTTCGTCAACGGAACGCATTTAGGCAAGCAAACGTTAAAATCTCAAATCAATAGCCGCGTGATACATTCATTGTTATGAGCAAGTGCAAGGCGCTAAAGCTGAACGAATGAGATCGCGCTCAAGTGCTTCTCTGTTTTCCTGCTTTTTTCTCACTAGATTATTTTCTGAGACAGCTGCTCCACAATGTGTCTGAAAGCAAGAAAGCCGTGCAAAGCTGAAAAGAAGGTTTTCGGAAATCAGATAGCTGGCATGCAGAGAGGATGGTCGGCAAATAAGTGAACTTTTATCTGCTGATGTATGACTCGAATCTGCATCGCATTTTGCACTTCTGCACTCGTGATATCTTGGTATCATATTGATGAGCACCTGTATCGAGGATCAAAATTGTGCAAGTCATAGCAATATTGTATCAATCAATACAGGAAAGCAAATGCAGTCCTCTTTCCTACCGGAGAAAGTACTTGACTCTGTAATAACAAGTTACGAAACAAAATCTTTTCATCGTGGGACAATCTTACAAGTATTCCACTTTTCATCTTTTCGAATTTTTCACATCAGATAACTCACGAATTTTGCAATGTCACTAACATGATTCATATTGCATGCACGGTGAAATGTTTATTTTGAACAATAGAGCTGGCCATTGAAGCCAGCATGTTTATAATGAATTTTGTAGAAGTTGTTCGATACTGTGTGCATATAAGGAACACTCGCCAAATTTTGAGCGTACTGTTTTAGTCCATCAATGATATGCACTACTTCTGCGCACTTCTGTTCAGCCAGAAATAAGCCTATTTCGCGTAGAGCAAGTATCATCGTTCCAATTTCGTTTAGGAGATAGTCCGACTCGTGCGACATCTTGGATATACGCGCGCACCTAAGAGAGGCTTCCATTGCTTCCTTGTGTATGATGTTTGGCAATTTGATCATAAGATCTATATCCAAGCCCGGATGAGCTCTCAATGTACTTGAGGTACTGTTGAATTCATGTCTGACAGTCCCACGAAGACCGTGTTCTTCCCCTCCCTCACGGATCGGAAACACTCCGTTCCTTTTTACGGCTCGCCACATAAGTATCCATATGACATGGTAATTGATCTCCGTGCTGCAAGCTGATATCACATCAGCAAAAGTCCAAAGATGTGACCATCTTGTATCGAAAGACTTCGTAGCTATCAGATGTTTGTGCTTCCAATTGAGTGAGGTTGAGATCAAGTCCTTCAGCAACAGTGCAGAGATATCTTCTTGATTAGACTGGGAAGACCAAAGATTATGGTAGACCAGTCGTAATGCATAGCATTCATCTTCTGAGGCCTGAAGCCATTTGTAGGTTCTTCTGATAGAAGCACCTCTAGCAGAGCTTTTCCAAAATCTCTTTACAAGTGATTCCGTAATTTGAACACTGTCATCTCCAATGTCGATGCGAGGTTTCTCTGGCAGAGCGCTGATTGCCTTGCGTCTGAAACACATGCAAACCACCAAACCGTATCTAGTTGCGCCTTGCCGCAAGAATCGTGCAAGTGATCTAACTCATTTAGACTGCTTTGACGATTGATACCCAGCTCGAGCATATGACTGATTGCTACCTCGAGCCAAAAGCTCCTCTGTACATCTGCGAACCCACCGGAAGCGCGGGGATCATCATTCGCATTGCATCTCCTTGCACCTGGAAATAAACCGTCAGCAAGAAAAGCTGCTATAACATTGGTTGTATGCGCAATCCGATGTACTTTGGTAAAGTCGAGAGCTTCCTCAGCTCTGGTCAAGTGATCATCCACTATCCTGCTTTTACTTCGCTTTCTTCCAGTTGGCAGACGAGAAATGGCAGCCGGTGAGAACAATGATGGTCCTTGATTTTCATGAGATTTTCTCCCGGCCGCGAGTTTAGTCGATACTATTTTGCTCTGTCTTCGTGTTGCAGCCCGTTTCTTGCGAGACGTCTCATCACGATCTGCCTTAAAAGTTGGATGCTTGCTGAAAAGCGCGCCACAAGCTAAAGTAACGGCTATCACTGGATCAAGCATTGTGTTGAGAGTATCTGGAATTTGTTTGTAGAATTCCTTCAAAAATACACTTGGATCAAATATTGGACAGCGGACGTGTACTGTACCAAAGTAAGTTTCCAACAGACTTACATTGAACTCCTGGCGAACCGCAGAGTTGTACAGCCGCCTCTTTGCTTCACCCGAAAACATTTCGCAATACTCTGGTACGATCATTTTTGAGAAATTTTGAGAGCCCGCTCTGTAACGTTTGTCACATTCGAGTAGAAAAGAAACTACCGGTGACTTACTCAACGTCCCCGTTTCAGATACACACATTCCGCTTCTAGCCGGTTCTGCGAATTAATTCTTCTTATTGTCTTACACATGGCGAACTGTGCTTGATCTGTCATACAGAGCTTCCCATTCTTCTTGCACGCTACACACGCTTGAATTCGTATATTCGTACCTTCTCGAGCATCCTATTTTGCGAAACCTGCATGATCATAGGCTAGGTATCGAGTCCGAGTGCTTTCCCCCCTCGCTTTCTCTGCTGTTGCTCAGCATGCTGATGGAAGCTAACTTGAGAAAGAGCATACCACCTACTTTTTCTATTCACACAAAGGGCACAGGTGAATGTGTAAAGTCAGGAACAATGGCATGCATACTCTGCGTCGCAAGAAATTTGGATGGCGGGCTGGATCTCGATTTGACCTTCTCAGAAATACTGCGATACCTCTGAATTTCTGAACTTGCGCAATGTCCACTGCTTCTAGGGCTGCTCAGAACGGCTCATAATAGCCTATTCAGGCCGGCAACAGCATGAAATTCTGATCACAGCGTCTTTTGTTTGGCAGCATAGCTGACGTGCAAGTCCTTGAAAGCTGACGTGCAAGTCCTTGAAAGTGGAATGTGAGTTTGATTGGTACAATAGAACAGAACGTAGCTCCACACCTAGGTGCACAAGTTTGTAGCCATATCTTAGTTGAAATGCAGTTTCATTGCTGACAAGATCGAGTCTGACTGACCGCCTCTCCTTGGGACTGGTCTCGCAAATCAGCCCGATAGCACTTGAAGCAAAATTGATATTCGTATGACGCATCATAGCGTCACTTCTATAACGCGACGTTGGCCGAAGCTTGAGGAAAAGGCTCCGATTGCATTGATCTGTGCTAAAGTATTGTCGAAGACAACGGCGTTTGAGAGATGCAAGCCAGCGGTACCAACTTAACTGGTGCCTTTTCTCTCAACTTCAGGAAGTCCTGCGGAGCTAAAAGTATTGTGTTCAATTGATTTTCTGTATAGCGGGCAACTTTCTACCGGACAGAAACGCCTACCTAGAAGAAGGGTTGCTATGGGCATTGATTTATTTTACCGAATGCAGAGTGGAAGGTGTTTTGAGAAATGCGTGAAATCACTGTTCCGTGGTGTTTTGCATTTCAATTTGAAATAGCGTCAAGCAAGAAGCACGAACAGTGGTGGGTCCGTAAAATGAGGATGAAATATAATGGCGTAATCTGATAATGAATGTCTAGGAATTCTTCATAATTGGCTCGCCCGTTCCCATCCCTATCGAATTTGTTTGTCTGTAAGACGTTCACCTTATTTGATCATAACATTATGCAATTCGACACCGTTGATGAATCCATCGCAATCTTGGTCAACACCTTGAAAGCATCTTCGATCTCTTTGCCCTTATCACGGTCTTCTCTTTCCCTCATTCTCACTGCTAGGAAATCCGGGAAGTCAATTGTACCAACTCCATCTGAGTCCACTTCACTTATCAAGTTCTGAAATTCAGCCTCAGTCAGTTCCGACCAAAAGACTGTATGATTGTCCGAAGTTCTTGGGTGGTAATATCGTCTATGCATGAATACGAAGAAAAAAGTCAGACGATATTAGGTACAACACCTTCAGTCGGTGTAGTAGTGCGATGAGGACAGGAAGGTAGAGACGCGATTACATCAGTCTCTACTGTCCTAAATGCAAAATAGCTATCGCATGTAATACACACCGATTTGGCAGTCATAGTCTATTCGTAGTCAATTACAGCCGTTCATCGATGTTTAATGTCAGGTTGATCAAACTATCCGAACCAAGAATGAGTCGTGATAGTCCGAAAGGTGATTTTGGTAGATTGTAAGGTAGTCATGATGTATGCATACAAAACAATTCTAGAAAACCCTTCCACGATCAAAACAAGCTCCGCTCAGTCGTTCATCGATGTTTTATGTCAGGTTGATCAAACTATCCGAACCAAGAATGAGTCGTGACCGAAAGGTGATTTTGGTAGATTGTAAGGTAGTCATGATGTATGCATACAAAACAATTCTAGAAAACCCTTCCACGATCAAAACAAGCTCCGCTCAGTAGAGCCTCCACGTCTTCCGCGCAGCACGCGAGTTAGAATAGCTTTTTGATTCGCACAGCAAGTAAAATGTATATACCTAACAAGAAACCCTTGCTGCATCATCTCGATGGCGTGTAAATCTCACATTCACCTTTCGCTACTTCATGCCTCGATCGGATTTTTCACACGTTTCCTACAGCTCTGCAGCCAGCGGAAGCTTTCAGAGTCATTCTCTTCAAAGGGCTAGTATCACCTTTCAAAGCTATGACGACGAGTGCCCGGCAGAAATGCAGCTTCTCGAGCTGGCGTTCTGCGTTGAGAGTGTGTACGCACTTTGACGAATTGGAAAAAATTGCCTTCAGGATATCCGAAGTAGACCCGACACAAAACCAGACAACGGTCGCGAGTGCTAGACAAATCACAGATTGATTATTAGACCGATATTCTCTTAACATAAGCGCGTTTGGTTGCGCTCTATAAATGAAAGGGTGCTTCAAGATTAATACGAGTAGACTTTGAAAGAAGCAAAAAAAGAAAATGTAGGTCGTAAGGATTGTTCGAAGTTGAATTTTGGGGTGCTACCGAGATGAAGTGTTTGAGATGTGGCGGGTATATTGCTGTTATTGTTGCTTCTCAACAGCAGGGAGAAGAAGATGCTAGGTATAATTGAAAGCAAACAGTGCGTGTATGCCTTTGTGAAGATTTGACGAACAACAAGCGAATGTCTTGCCAAATACTACTTTATGATCTTGTGAAAGTTGCAAAGAAGCCAAAATCTTGTCCATCGCAGCATTCAAAGATCAGTAAGAGTGATGCACCAATTTATGCAATGTCACCTTCTCTTGACTATTTGATTGGTCTTGCTTGCTCCCTATTGACGATAACTCGTCAAAAGAAGGGACTTTACTGATTGACGAACACATCAAACTGTCTAGCAGAACAATAGGCTGTATGTGATGATGAAGAAAGTAAGGAACAACCACCATTAAAAAAAAAAAAAAAAAAAAAAAAAAAAAAAAAAAAAAAAAAAAAAAAAAAAAAAAAAAAGGCAAGCTGATCTTCAATAATCAAATGCCAGCAAAGGAAGCAGACTAAAAAATAGGCAAATGACAAGCGTTCAAAAGTGATCTTCTCCATGTACGTACGTACGATTTGGCGGGTGGGTGTGCGTGTGTGTGCTTTGTGTGGGCAAGTGTAGAAACGCGTGTCAGCTCTCTGTTTATATTGAACAACAGGCAAAAAGGGGAAGAATTGGAAAAAAAAAAAAAAAAAAATTTGCTTGATCAAAATGGGCTGCTTAGCACGCATTTAAATTGCAGACTGAACGATCTCTACATCAGTACTTTAGCGTGTGCATGCATTTGTGTATATAATTTGAGTGAGTGGCTCTCTTCTTTCTGTACGACGGACAGGCACGGAAAAAGAAGAGCAACTGACGCCTCTGACGCCTCTGACGCCTTTTACGTACATATGAATTTTAGATCCTTTCTTGGAATAAATGAAGTAGCATTGAAAGTGCACGGAGGTTTTAAAAGTGCACGAGCCTCCTTTACGACATAAGTGAGAATCAATATCGGAGTCTCAAAAACGTGTCAAATGTACAAAGAAAGATGAGATTTGGACACGAATCATTCATACGTCAAATAGAACGATCCAGATAGATTACCTTTCCAATCATATAGGCGGTCCAACTATTACATAAAATTTCAAGTCAGTTCTAGGCCTATTCCTCAACAGTAAATTAACGTTGGAAGAAATCGGATAATGTTCTCCTGCTCCGAGATTAGCTCTAAGATTCTTTAGAGAAAAATACTTGTATGAACATTCGATTACCCATTTTTCAGGCACGCCTGACGTCGTAGAACAGAAATTAAGTTTCTACTCGTTTGTGGACCGATGATTCTGGATTCTATAAGTTTTTCATGTATACCATGATCGGCAAAACACTTGAGATGTTGAGAAATAATTTTTATTTTGTGGCTTGAAATAAAGAAAGAAAAAAGGAAGAAAAAAGAATAAAATAATGCAAGAAAAAGATACGCATTTTTGCATTGAAAGGTACTAGTAACTAATAAAATTTATATATCTCACCACTAAAATACTGATTACTTCTCAAATCGCCGAATCAGATTCGGTGACTTTATAAGCAGGGTATTTCAGCCGCGCAGTGCTGCACAGCGCTGCTCGTGGAGCAGAAAAGATATAATCCAAAGTATGCACTACACACATTGGCTTTTTCGCACATGTATGCAGATCCGATCATTTATTGAGCTGCACATGGCATGCATATTGAAATTATAGGGTGACGGGGGCGAACGTGCTGTACGGTGAGATAATATTACTGACATGCATAAATGTGTGCAAAATAAAAGATCGGTCACTTTTACGCTGTTATCGTGTGAAAAAATAGAAGACCTGTTTGAACCCTTCAAAAATGATTTGCTTAGGTACGGGCTCCATTTGTTTAGGTATAGCCGAGACTATAAACAAGATTTACCCTGCATGCAAGCAAAGCCAAACTTCAGGTTCGACCAGGACCTGTATGAATCTTTTTTATATATATCATGATAGAAGGCTTCTAGATCTCTTGAAAGATAAGAGAGAGATTTAGAGAGTCTAGAAGATCGTTCAATTGCTAATACATGGCATGGGAAAGTGAACTTCATTACACTATCATCTGGATTATGTCTATACATTTGTTTATTTGTTTACAAATACTATATATAATGCTGGAATTGTGCTTAAGAGAAATCGCGCTTGCAATATTCTACTGCACCTGATCACGCCATGAATTTAATAAAAGCATGCTTAGTCTATATGACATCTTGCACACGGGATCTGTTCCGTTACTAATTGGCATAAAATTTAAGAGGCCTCACCGTCAGGAGACTTTGTTTCTTTTTTTTTAAAAGTGTCATCGATTTTCTTATTCAAGCCACAAAAATATTTTTCCCTGAATTCTTGTGTTTGGAGCACATTAGGATCTGCAAACAAACATTTTCCAGAAGATCGGAATAATTTTAAATTTTAAAGTGGTCTAGTCCTTAAAAGCCCAAATTTTCCTTTGCTTACTGAATTTGAATTAAGAAAAGAAGTGATACTAATCTTTTTGAAATGATATAAAAACACATTGATATGTTCTGTCCATTGGTGTCGCTTTCCCTCTTTACATTTCATGCTTTTTCTCAAAAGTCTTTAACCGGCCATGTTCACATATCTTTGGTGGCTTCTTTTGGGCACTTTTTTATATTTGACACAAATAGTTTTTACATTTCACTATGATCCAGATTTTGTCGCTTATAACCTCAACACAAACCGTACGGCCCACTCGCCAATCAATTTTTGGGGTGAACGGAAAGGTCATAAATACACACCTTCACCGACAAATTGGCGATTTCCGTTTTATACCCTTTTGATGGATAGATTTGTAGATGGAGATCCATTTAATAACGATATAAACGGTACACATTTTGAAAGAGATACACGTTCAACGCAATTTAGACATGGTGGTGACGTTCAAGGTCTAATTGATACGTTGGATTATTTAGAAGGTATGGGAATAAAAGGCTTATATATTGCAGGTTCAATTTTCCAAAATTTACCTTGGACTTATGATAGTTATTCGCCCGTCGATTTAACACTTTTGGATCCTCATTTTGGCACTCTTGCCCTATGGCAAACGGCAATCGATGAAATACATAAACGGGGAATGTATGTGATTCTCGATAACACTTTTGCCACGTGAGTAAGACTTTATTAAGCCCTTAATCTATAGTATATTAGAGAAAGCTCATTACTTGCATATGTTCCTAACATTTTTCTTTTACAGACTAGGAGATTTACTAGGCGCAGAAGGATATTTAAACGTTAGCGTACCTTTCTCTCCAAAAGAACATACAGCCATTTATAAAACAGATCGTGTTTATCATGATTTCATCTTTGACAATTCCTGGAACGAAGATTGTCAATATCCTCGTTTTTGGAACGAGACTGGTTTTCCAGTCGATGAAGAAGTTGTTAACTCTTTTAAAGGCTGCAGAAATAGCGATTTCGATCAATATGGAGATACAGAAGCATTTGGAATTTATCCGGATTATAGGCGTCAGTTAACAAAATTCGCTAGTGTACAAGATCGTGTACGAGAATGGAAACCGAGCGTACGTGCAAAATTAGAAAATTTCTTTTGCATTGTTATTGCTCAATTGGATATAGATGGTTATCGTTATGATAAAGCAATGCAAGCAACAGTAGATGCTTTAGGAGAAATGAACAAAGGGATGCGTAAATGTGCTGCTCGTCATGGAAAAAAGAATTTTTTCTTGCCGGGAGAAATCACTGGTGGAAATAATTTAGCTTCAATTTATTTAGGACGTGGAAGACAGCCTGATATGCTTCCACCAAATTTAAATGTTGCAATTCAAGCAGGACATTCAACCCAATCTTATAGCATTCGTAATGCTGATCAAGCTGGAAATGATGCAGCTGCATTTCATTATACAGTTTATCGTACCCTTACCCGACATTTACTTATGGACGGTAATTTGGAAGCAGGTTATGATGCTCCAGCGAATTTTGTTGATATGTGGAACACTTTTTTACTCACAAATGACTTTACAAATCCAAACACCGGAGAATTTGATCCTAGGCACATGTACGGTACAATGAATCAAGATGTTTTTCGTTGGCCGGCAATCAAAGATGGTATACGTAAGCAATTACTTGGAAATTTTATAACGACACTCTTACTTCCCGGTATACCGCTTTTATTATGGGGAGAGGAGCAATCTTTTTATACTCTTGATAATACAGCCAGCAATTACATTTTTGGACGTCAACCAATGTCAGCAGCAGGCGCTTGGCAAACTCACGGTTGTTATTCTCTTGATTCTACGCAGTATTATCAATTCCCTGTTGAATCAGCAAGAAATGGTTGTAAGGATGAAAAGGTTTCATATGATCATCGAGATGTTTCTTCTCCGATAAGAAATATTTTCAAACATTTTTACTTTTTACGTTCTCAATTCACCGTTTTACAAGATGGAGCATGGCTTCAACAATTATCTAATCAGACTTGGCAAAGCATTTTGCCTGGATCAAGCGGCGTTCCTACAGAGCAAGGTTTATGGTCAGTGATGCGTTCAGACATTCCTGGTGTGAATCTTTTAAATGGTACAACAAATAGCCTTACATCTGTTTGGTTATTATGGACAAATATCGAATCCACAAAAAGCTTCTATTTCAATTGCTCCGATACGAGAATATCTCCTCAAACTCAAGCACTTTTGAGCCCTTTCCCAGCTTCAACACGATTGCGTAATTTGTTGCACCCTTATGAAATCGTTGATTTACAAGAATCAGAACAAGTTCTTGGAACGTTTAATTCCACACTAAACCGTACAAACGGATGTTTACCCTTTTTAGAGATGCACTCTTTTGATTTTAAGGCATTCGTTCCGATCGAAGAATGGGAAATGCCTCCTGCAACCGTTACAGGATTTTATCTAAATGGAGATCAAAGAAATGGTCATGATTCAAGAATTCTTGCAAAAGAAGAAAATCCACAAATCGGCGAAACTATTTCAGTGACAATTTTGTTCTCTCGTTTTATAGATTGTGGTTCTGTTACAAAAAGACTACAGTTTACCTCTTCAACTGTTTCTGGAAGGTTACCAAAACTTATTAAAAATACTGTTCAATGTCAAGCTCAAATGATCCCTACAACTTCTCAACATTTGCAAAATGCTGCGCCTACAGAATGGTCTTGGTCAGGTCAATTAAGTGGAGTAGAACATGGTATCCATCGAATCTCAATCAATGCAACAGGCTCAATTGATAAATTCACTTTTCGTATTGGAACAAAGAATAATCCAGTAATTTTTCCTCGTATTGCAAATTATTCTACTTCTTTGGTACGAAGCGAAACTTTGGTATCTGGGAATAAAGTTATCACCTTAGCGCATAACGCAGATGGTGCTGATCTTTGGAGGTATACATCTAATTGGGGTTCTTCCTATAGCGATTGGATGCCTTATAGTGGTGGAGATACGAATATCACCCTTCTCGATTGGAATGGCACGAAAGAACAAGCATGGAAAGGTACTCATATCCGTGTAGAGTATTACAATCGTATAGTTGGATCAAGTGATATGATACAAGAAGGTGATCTAGAAAAAGAAGTGGGAATGAAGCGCTTTCCTCATTTATACTGGAACGGACCGTATAACGACTATGGTTTTGATGCATCGATAAACAATGAAGTTCAATATCGATCAGAAGATAAGGTTTGGTATTACAAATTCATGAATGAATGGCCTGCTATAGGTCAATTCAACGTTTGGGGTACGAATCCTGATGGTTTACCCGATCAAACATATGTTATGGGAGATATTGATGGTGATATGGTCCTTGATAGACTTCCTCCTTCTTCATTAAGCTCAATTTATATCAATATAACTCAAAGTCCAGATATGATGCATCCAGCATGGGCATTACACATCGACGATGCAACGATGAAATTTTATTTACAGCCTACCGGTTCAAGTCTGATTCAAATGATCATCTTTTCTTTATTTTCTTTGATCCCTTTCATTTCGGCATTTTTAGCAGTTTTAGCTTTTATTAAAAGCTTTTACAAAGTCAAATTCAATCAATTAGGTTCAACTTTACAAGAAAAAGTTTCTACTCCACCTGCTCTACAACGGATATATAACTGTCTTCAACCAAGTAAACGCATCATACTTTCCGACTCTGGTGAAAATGAAAAAGATATCGAAAGTATAGGAGGTATTAAAAGAGGTAAAATATTTCATTTGATTGATCCTACCTTGTCAAAATTAGGTTTTTCTAGCCGTAGCAGAAGTGGATCTCTGAATAAAGATAAAGAAAGTTACGACCAAAGTGAACAACAACGGAAAAGAACGACTTTAATTGCTACAATCGAGTATGATATAGAAGATTGGAATATCAAAGTAAAAATTGGAGGAATGGGTGTAATGGCACAATTAATGGGAAAAGCTCTTGGTCATCAAAATCTGATTTGGGTTGTACCTTGCATTGGTGATGTTCATTTTCCAATCGATACTCCTGCCGAACCAATGCGTGTCACAATTCTTGGAGTTGATTATAGCATTCAAGTTCAATATCATTTCTTGAACAATGTTACGTATGTGCTATTGGATGCTCCTATTTTTCGACAACAAACAAAAGCAGAACCTTATCCAACACGAATGGATGATATCAATTCAGCAATTTATTATTCGGCTTGGAATCAATGTATAGCACATACAGCTCGTCGATTTCCTATTGATCTTTATCATATCAATGATTATCACGGTTGCCTTGCACCTCTTTATCTTTTACCACAAACGATTCCTTGTTGTTTCTCTTTACACAACGCCGAGTTTCAGGGTTTATGGCCGATGAGAACAACAGCAGAATGCGAAGAAGTTTGCAGGGTATTCAATTTAACAATCGAAATTGTACGTAAATACGTTCAATTTGGTGAAATTTTTAATTTACTTCATGCAGGAGCAAGTTATTTACGTATCCATCAACGCGGTTTTGGCGCAGTCGGAGTATCAAAGAAATATGGTAGCAGAGTTCATTTACGCTATCCAATCTTTTGGGGTTTACAAAAAGTTGGACATTTACCTAATCCAGATCCAACGGATGTTGGTGAATGGAAAGGAAGTACGTCTTTACAAGAGCCAATTTGTATCCAAGAAGAATTTGAAAATAAACGACCTCTTTTGCGCGAAGAAGCACAACGATGGGCAGGTTTAGAAGTTGATTCAAATGCGGAATTATTCGTTTTTGTTGGTAGATGGTCAGTACAAAAAGGTGTTGATCTTATTGCCGATGTTTTTCCAAAGATCCTAAAACAACATTCAAACGTTCAATTGATTTGCGTTGGACCAATCATTGATTTATACGGACGTTTTGCTGCACTTAAACTTGATCATCTTATGAAACAATATCCAAAAAGAGTATGTTCAAAACCCGTTTTTACAGCTTTACCTCCTTGCGTTTTTGCCGGAGCTGAATTCGCTTTAATTCCTTCTCGTGATGAACCTTTTGGTTTGGTGGCTGTAGAATTTGGACGAAAAGGAGCTCTTGGCGTTGGTGCGCGTGTTGGTGGTTTAGGAAATATGCCTGGTTGGTGGTATACGGTTGAAGCAATGTCAACTTCTCATCTTTTACGACAATTTCAACAAGCAATAGAAGAAGCGCTTTCTTGTAAGAAACATATTCGTGCTCTTATGCGTGCTAGAGCTGCTAAACAACGTTTCCCTGTTGCACAATGGTTGGAAGATTTAGAAATATTACAATCAAACTCTATTCGTATTCATGAAAAATGTGGCGGCAAGCTCTTAAACCAAATTCAAGATTCTCAAAATCAAATTCAATATCCAATCACAAGTTCAAATGTGGTTGAAGATAGTTACAATAATAATGATCTTGAATCTAATTTACCTATCCCTTCTCGACTTTTCGTTTCGAATATCAAGCGAAAACCTCCACCGGCTGTGCCATCGATTTTCTCACCTTTACGGCTTCAAAATGAAAGAGATATAGAGTGTTCTAGTCAAATTAGTGACGAAGATTTCTTTGAAGCATTAGAGGAGGAGGAGAGTAATAATGATCGATTTGATTACGAGACCCAAGATAGAAAACCTGCTATCGAAACAAAGCTTGTCAGGGAAACACTTTTTGGTGCTTCATCTTCAACGGACATTTTACCAGCAGGAATCACTGATGGTTCACTCGAATCTTCACGATTAGATTCCTCCAATTCTTTGATCAAATACACTGACGATACCGAAACTCCAGCGATCGAAGAAGAAATTGCATTTTTACCTCAATTAACATCTTATAGATCTTCTGCAAACTTACTCGACGCAAACGCTGTTTTAGGTGATTCAGCACGTAGAAACGCATACTTACTGCAAAACGTCGACGCTCAATTCACCGATCCAGACGATTTATATTTCTCAAGATTTAGTCGTAAGTTGGATCAAGCTTCTTCTTCGCCCGCCATAAAAGCTTCGAGTACATGCATCGAAGAGTTCTTGATCGATTCTGAACGTGAATGGTTTGCTGAAACGCTTAAGGCGAAGTTGAATTTAGGTGCTATAGGTAGACCTTTTTCCTCTCTCAGTACAGAGAAAAGTTTCTCGAGAAGAAATAGTGATTGTGAACGAACAGGTCGATGGTCTAGACAAGATGATCGATCTGAGTCTACGCAAGTATCAGAACGAAAAACAGGACGTTTTCAAGGGATATTATTTAAATACGTTCAAATGAGGGTTGGTGATTGGCCAGTGTATTCTCTAATTCTAGCTTTAGGACAAATAATGGCTGCAAATTCTTATCAAATCACACTTTTAGCAGGTCAAATTGGTCAAAAAGCCGAACAACTTTATGTTCTTTGTTCAATTTATATTCTTTCGACTATGATTTATTGGTTATTATTCCGAAAGATTCAACTCAATATTCTTTTATCCATTCCCTTTATTCTTTACAGTTTTGCATTCCTTTCAATTGGTTTAGCACATTATGGAATTTCTATTGAAGAACGTGGATGGATTCAGAGCATAGCTACAGGTCTTTATGCTGCTGCTTCTGCTTCCGGATCACTTTATTTCTCTCTCAATTTTGGTGATGAAGGTGGTTCTCCTGTTCGAAGATGGATCTTTCGCGCTTGTCTACTTCAAGGTTTACAACAAATTTATATATGCGCTCTTTGGTATTGGGGCTCAAATTTGGTGAAGAATTATACGATTCATCCAAATTCAGATCTTCAAGTTCAATCCGTCACATATTTTTGCATACCAATTTGTGTTTCACTTTGGGTGTTTGCATTTTTGATCTTTTATGGCCTTTCAGATTATTACCGTCGGAAGCCTGGTTCAATTCCTTCGTTTTACAAAACTGTCATTCGTCGTAAAGTGATTATGTGGTTTTTCTTGATGGTAATCGTCCAAAACTTCTTCCTTTCCACTCAAACAGGTCGTAATTGGTCATTTTTATGGTCTAGCAAACATACGCCTTCATGGCAAATAGCATTATTAGCAATTTTCTTTTTCATCTTTCTTTGGATTGCAATCATGTCTGGATTTTCAATTTTGAGCAAAAGTCATTCTTGGCTTTTGCCAATCATAGCAGCAGGATTAGGAGCACCACGTTGGGCACAAATTTGGTGGGCTGTCTCTGGAATGGCACTTTGGCTTCCTTGGACTGGAAGTTATATAGCATCAGGTTTGGTAGCAAGAAGTTTATGGCTTTGGCTAGGTCTTTTAGATACCGTTCAATCTGTTGGCGTTGGAATGGCACTTTTAGCAACAATGACACGCTTTCACGTCACTTTCACCCTTATGACTGCACAAATTCTTGGAGCTTTAATGACAGTAATTGCTCGTGCTTGTGCTCCAGACGCTTTACAATCCGGTTCAGTTTTCCCAAATTTAGTCTTAGAAGGTTTTTCAGGCATACAAAATGCTTGGTTTTGGATCGCTCTTGTTTTAAATACTACTGTTTGTAGCGGATTCTTTTTGTTTTATAGAAGGGAACAATTAAGCAAGCCTTGAAATGTACTATAAATTGACTAGGTGAAATATAAATAGACTTTTCAAGTTGAGTTCTCAGCATCTTTCTCGTCCGATAGCTCATAAATACATAATGTCAAACATCTAAATTTGAAATCGAGATTGGTATAGTACAATAAAGCTCTTACTGTCTAAAACCAGGCTCTTTTTACCCAAGGATGTTGTCGAATCTCCTCTAGAGTTGCGCGCTCTTCAGTAGAAGTTTGAAGACAACGAGTAATTAGCTTTGAAATTTCATCGCTATAAACGAATCGCGGCTCTGAAATCATTCCATCGATTGCCATTTGGGTATTCGTGAATGGAAGTGTTCCGTTCAGTATGATATACAACAGTACACCTAAACTCCACACTTCTGCTTCAGGAATTCGATAAAGTTCCCCTTTTAAAATCTCACTAGAAGCAAAAGGAATCGTTCCGTAGAACTTTTTGAATAATGAATTTTTCTCGGTTTCCGTAAGGATTATTGCTGAACCGAAATCGATCAACTTTACATTGAAATCTTGATCTATAACACAATTTTCATCCTTTATATCACGATGATATATTCCTTGCTTGTTCAGATCATAAACACCTTCAACAATTTGTGCAAAAACCCATCGAGCAGTGTTTTCTTGTAAACATGTCTGAGTTTCCAGACAATCATATAAATCAGAAGAAATACCTTTACGGTATTGTGGAATACTTTTGGCAAGTGTTATTGTTTGGCTTGTAAGTTTTTTTTCGTTAATATTGGTTTCTATTTGCTGATAAAGACAGGTTTCAGATTGCATTGGTAGTAATATAGTGCTTGAAAATGCTTTTGAAGGGCCAAGTCCAGCTTCGTTCGTGCTGTGAATGCAAACGATATTGCAACTTTCTTGGTTCGGCTCAGCTTGTCGCTCTTTTTTACTCCTACATTCTTCTTTGCACGGTCTATGGTGCTCAGTGATTAAATAAAAGTACTTCTCATCTGAAACCAAATCAATGAATTTGATTATAAAAGGGCTATCAACTTTTTGCAAAATGAAAGCTTCTTTTGGAATTTTGCCTAATCGTTCATTATTTACCCATCCGTTTTTTGATACTTTTCGCTTTTGTATAAATTTAATGGCTACCTTCAAGCCGTCTTTAATCCTTGCAGCGCTCATTACAAAGGCAAAACCTCCTGTTCCAATTATATTTCCAAGCTTATACTTTCCCAGTAAAGACATGCTAAACGGATATCCTTCCGTGTCATATGATATTACCGTAGGCGAAATACCTTCAATACAGTTCTCCTTATATGCGATCGTTTTCGACATGGCGATCATAGAAATGTCAGCCTCAATAGGCAATGGAATGGGCAGGTATAGAAAAATGATGCTTATAAGATTGTCAAAACCTACATATACCACTACACGTTAGAAACCGGTCTATCAGCCAAACTATACACACTCTAGAACGTACCGGCCAAAAGTCCGGCTGAAAATTAAAATACGCTAAATGGAAGAAGAGGATTTTTTACATTTCTCCCCCCCCCCCCTTTATCTCTTTGTAGTACGGCAAATGCTCTGAGTTAGCCCTGCACGGTTCTCTTGGGACTTTTTAGACACCAAAAAACGAAAACCGAAATTCATCTGCAGTGTAAGTTTCAAGAAGAACTCAGATGGTCGATCGCAAGGTTACCAGAGACGCATGATCCAGAAACCCCGTACGCGCCGACGGATTTTTTTTTTTGGATTTATTCACCGAATTGACGCTAATAGCTTCATGTGAATTTTGAAGGTTGTAGCTTTAGGGCAACTGTACTAAAAAGCAACCGATTACCTTCTGTACAAGGCACCTATATTTATAAGCTACCCTGTTGTACATACTCAGCCTCTAATGGAAACAGTTTTTCCAAGTCATATATATACATAGTTCAATGCAGACTTCAACTGCCTATCGCCTCTTTATGCTTGCTGGCCGTCAGCAGCAATGGAATGAATGGGCATCCTATAGCAAACGCAACAGCTTCGCAAAGCATAACTCTGTTTAACATTCGAGCAGAATGACAGCGTACGTAACCATCAGCCACTCTAGACCGTTATCAAAACAAGATGTAATCGACATACACAAAATGGTCGTAGAAGCAGTAGCAGAATTAAAAAAAAATACAAAACATCCTGAGTGTAGCTAAACATATATGTCGTGTAAAAACATTCGGGATTTGAAATGAGGTATAAAAGCCTAGCGTGGCGGGCAACGCTGCAGAACGCGTGAAAATCCACATCTCCGCTATAAGCTGCCGCTTATGCCGACTGAAAAGCGGCTGCGCTGCGCAGCGCTCCACCGCTTACTATGTTTCCGGCGTACGAAAATTGGCGCTGAGCCCTTGCCGGGTCAACGAAAAAAAGGTAGGGTAATAAGCTAGTAGTTTCCTAAAAATAGTTCCATGGCAAGACTGGAAAAAAATCCTACCCTACTTACATAACAAACAAATCAAGAGTAAAGTTTTTGTACGCACTAAATTTTCTTTCTGCAGATATACGTCTATAATAATATAGCGGATCATGTCTCGGTGAATCTCGGTGTTTTAATGGATCAACATAGTTTGTACTTAAATCTGCAGAGATGGCACTAAATGAGTCAGCTGTATACGTTAAGAAGCTTTTTCTCCTTCTCTAAGCTGAGAATTTAAGGAGGCTTGCGTACCTATGGAAAAACACTAAAATAAGTACTTAAGAATTTGTGCAGCCGATCATCCCTTTTCTGTGGAATTCTCTTTGTTCTAGATCTTGCCTTAATGACTTTATTATCTACACGGAGAACTTCTCTTTCCAGCTTTTCGAATTTCAATAGTTTTTTGCACTCTTTCTACATTTTATCCTCTAAATCTTTCTGAAATAGAAGAATTTGGCCTGTGAATAGTGCTTACAGAATAATCGTCTATGCGTCAATCTCCTTGCTTAACATCAAAGTGAAGAACTTTTGTGGTTCTATAGAAATATATAGAAGGATCCACTGAGCGAAATACCTGTATAACTCTATATTTCTCTAAGTGTTTTCAAGGAATCTAGGATTCAAGACTTTGGTTTGACTAAATTATTTTTATAGATCCTTATTTGATGGAGCGTTAAGATAATACAAGTATGTAGATTGCATCCTTCTGGGGCGTGTAAAAGACGGGCAGGAGTATAAGATCATACAGTAGCTCGCAATAGAATCTAGACCTTTTTTATACGCTTGTGCCTTAAAATTGATGGTTCGTGTAGCGCGTAAATCAAATTCTACTATTCGAACTCTTTTTTCTACGCCATCATCACATTTTTTTATACTTTATATCGATCTTTAAAAGACGCGAGAATATTATTAGCCCGTGCAATTTTATGATTGAGGGGGTTAATGTATTCTTCTTTCTCTACAAATGTTTGGCAGAGGTCTGGAAACGGCAAACACTAATTCAAAATCTTTTTCATCGTCAGTGAAAGCTGCGTGTCTGGAATGTCGACAAAGAAAAGTGATTTGCAAAATTGGAGATAGTGCTCGTGCTTGTCAAAGATGCGAAAATAATGGCTTACAATGTAGATTTGAGCCAACAAATAAAAGAGGAAGAAAACATAAAAATCAATCAACAGGTTCATCAATGGATAAAAGGAATGAAATCATAAGTTCAGGAAATTCACCTTTACTTAAATTTTCATCTTCTTTCTCTCGAAATAGAGACGCAGACAAAGAACAAATGTCTAATAATGAATTCGTGAAATTTCAAGATATACTTGCAAAACCTTTTCGAAGTTCACTTTGGCGAATTTTGAAGAAATTTCAAGATGAAAATGGACATAGATTTATACCTATGTATTTTGGAGAAGGAAACAAAAAGAATGGTGCAACGCAGAATATAAATGTTAAATCATCTGAACATCCCATCTCAAGTAGGATTGGAGAATCACTTTATCATCCCACTTTAAGACAACATTTGTGTCCTCTGACAGGAGATAAACCTGTACTCGGTCGAATCGTAGCTGATTCACCACTTGTCGTACGTTTTGACATCTATCCTGATCCGCGAATTTTAGGAATAATCTCGTCAGCGAGGTGCGAAGAATTATTGTTATATTACGATTCATACTTACAACCGTGGGCAGGAGCAATCCCTTCTGTACAAGAATTATCATTACCTGGAACACGTTGGACTTCAACATTCCTGCTTTCAACTGTCTTATATCTTGCATCAAGATTTAGCAATGCAATCACAAATTCTCAAGAAGAGCAACTTTTAGGAATGCATACACGTTCACTCGCAATACGTGCATTTGGATGTGCAGATCAAAGTTTAGAAACACTAACTGCTCTTCATCTTCTTACCGTTTGGAAAGCTCTTGATGATGGTTATTCTCAATTGTATGTAGGATATGCAGATCAAATTGCAAACATATCTAGAACAGGTGGAAGCAATGGAAGCCCTTTATCAGAAAAAGAAGCAAGAGATATATTACGAATTCAACTATTTCATTATGTTCAAAGGAGTACATTTCAATTATTTTACGTTCCTTTGATAAATGAAATAATGGATCAAGATGGTTTTATTTTACCTTTTCCGATTTCTTCATCTCCTCCTCCGCCACTTCTAGCTTTAGAAAGATTTGCAGCTGGAAGTGCGACTTCATTATCGGATTGGCAACTTTGTGCGACAGTTGAAGGTCGTTCAATTCAAAGTAAATACAGAGACCTACTCGAAAAATATAAACCAGGTCGATTTGGTAGATCACGTAATTTATCGGGAGAACAAATTGCACTTTTAGAGGCCTTTTTTTGCGAAATGGAAGCATGGGAATATCGTTGGCGCAGACGGCGATCTAGAATAAGTGAATCGAAAAGAAGTTCAAGAACTCCTGTTCAAAGAGAAGAAGATAGAACACAAGCAGAATCGGAAGTGTATCTATCAGCAACTGAAAATGATCGAGGTTGGATCAGATTTGAAATCCTGGGTAATAGCATTTGTTTACATATTTCTTCTCTCGCTTTTCGACAATGCATTGAAGTTTGGTTCGAAACATTTCCTCAAACCATCTTTCAATCAATCGAAAAAGCGTTGGCTGAAATGATTCAACGTACGTATCAAGCATGTATTGATAGCGCAATTGGTCTGTTGGAAAAAATTGTTTCGATAAATCCTCTTTCTCTTGTCCATATGCCGGATACGGATTTCATAATGCTCAATTATGCAGCAATGTTTGTCGTTTATTTGCTTTTATTACCTTCAGAAATAGAAGATGATATTCAAGAACCATCCTCAAGACATTCAATTTCAAAAGAGGAATATCTGATAAACCTTCTCAGTGGATATACGATAAAATTTAAAGAATATCTGGAATTAATAAAAGTCGTAAAAGATAGTGTTGAACGTGCTTCGCAAACTCGGCCGGAATCTACTTGTTGCTTTTTAAGCTCCGAACAATTTAAAAGCCTCGTTGCTTTATTCGAAGCAACTATTCAAGGTCCGACGCTGACAAAAGAGACATGAGAAAATGCCTAAATACTTGAAATTTTATTTGTAAATACTTTGTTTTGAAAAAAAGGCAGCCTGTCTGTCCTTATCTTTGGAAAGACATCTGCTTGAATAAATATCAGATGGCTTCTGCAATGGCGCGTAACAATTTTTTACATAGGTTCTGTTTACATACCTATTGAAAATCAAATTCTAGACCTTTTGGCTGTCTCTTTTTTAATCAACCGAAGCGAGTCTGGAGAATTGGAACGCTTGATTTAAGATGTCTCATCGGATACAGTCGAAAAGCTTTGAAAATTGTTTCACAACAAGTATGTTTTTAATAGAGATCATCATGCAATACCTTACTTTTATTTACTTCAACTCTCTAAAGCTCATTGAAATATAAACCTGTTCATTTTTTCGATCGCTAATTGATATAAGACATGTAAAGCAAGGATAAATCTGTATATATAGCCGGTAAGAAACGCCCGATCACAATGACCATAGGCGATAAAGCGAGAGTCAGTCCGGATAGAGAACCGAGTCTTCCGGATTCAAGTACGAGAAATGTAAAATGACTTTTACTAGATGATATCATCTTTCTAACGGATCATGCTCGAAGCGCTTTCATAGTAGGAGAATATAGACTCAGTGGATTTTACCTTTATCAAGCCCGAAGTGCTTTACAGAGGATCAAAGATCTAGATAATCATAAGCATGCTATAAATTCAACACAAAATCGTGCGTCATAGCTGCTTCTTCAAGTCAATGCAGAATTAATATTCTAATAAAATGCTCAGAACCGCAGAACGAAGAATCATGATCATCGCAGATTTGTAATTTCGATGCTGAAACGTATGTGTGAGCAATTGTGAAGAGCATACTGTTCAGGTATAGAAGTAATTACATGAAATCAGGAATAGAATAAGGACGTGTAAAATATGATATGTGAGATAAGTGACATAAGAAGTATTATTCTGTTCTACATAGAAAACTGTTATAGTGTGAGCAGGTGAAACAATCTCGATGGAAAAAAGCAGTATCTTCCCCAATCCTACACCGAACACCACCCTGTAAAATTTCTTTATCACAATCACGACAATATAATATACCATCGTTCAAAATGCAAGACTGATTTAGATCGGTAAAATCGGAGGAAGTGAATAAGTCGCACGATATTCTGTGTTTTTGCTTTATCTCTTTCGGCATATTTTCTGATTCAGCCATATGGAGTATAACACTTGCTGCTTCTACCACTTGTCGCTTACGATGCTGAACATGCGTTTTACTTGAATATGGTTCTGTGTGGCTATATACAGGAACACTGTTTTCGTTTACGTTCTCCTCTTCTGCTTTAATGCCTGAATAAATATCGTTTTCTATAAGAACAGAATGCTGTTCGTGAGAAAAACTTGCATAGTGGTTTCTATATTCCCTTGAGCGAAATGTTGGAGATGGTGGGATAAGTTTGATCGAGAGAGGTGGATAATTGTGGTGACTACGACTTTTGACTTGATCTGTTTCTCGGCTTGCATACAGGTCGAAGATTTCACCATCTTCTTCATCTTTGAAATTATATGAAAAACACGATTCGTAAAATTTTGAGTCACAACTCTGATGTTCTTCCGTACGAGCCTGCTTGAGAATATCAGAGTATAATTGTTCGAGAACGATTTGCTTCCTCGTCTCTCTTTGAGCCATTATGTGATATCTTTTTATAGGACAAGGTAAATTACTCTCCGACATAAAATCTAGACTACCAAGTAGAAGTCTGTGTGATTTATCAGATCCATAAGAATAAAAATTGTCGATGATGATAATGACATGAATAAAGAAAGGGGGTTATCAATATCAGAACGTATACGAAGGATTAGATTTGATCTCCTGCTAAAACCAGAACCGAAAGGCCTTCGGGGATATACAGATCGCTATACCTATTTTTTCAAAACCGCCGCCACACAAATACATGCATTACCAAATAAAAATATAAATATTAGTTCACTGGAAAGAATGTTCTTGAAACTTATACTGCAGATCAATTTAGCGGTGTCTGAATTAAAACGCTGCGCAGAGCAAGCATTGTAAAATGATTCTTGGTATATTTAGCGTATGATTTGGTTTTAGTTTCGCAAACATGGCTTTATGG